TAGGCTACCATTTTGCAAAAAGTTAAATGATGTTTTCTTGAATTGTAATTTATCAATGTGAAGTGCATAATTAATTGTATCTAAATATGTATAAGCCATAAGGTAAATGGATCAAACTTATCAGTAGGCTAATGTAGTTTTTCTATGGAAAATCTACAAATCCCTACTGCTAAAAAAGTTTTCTTGTGGCGCTCTAAAACTTCTTTTCACAACAACAAACTAAGAACTAAACAGAAATGGAGGGAGATGAATGCAACCTGTTGTCCTATTGGAGGGCTACATTTTACAGCTGGTCCAATGGCCTGCGAGTATAAAAATTACGGCAAATTTAAACCGTTCAAATGTGCCCACTCTCCCAGTAAATATTTGCCTATTGTATAAAGTTATAACTTTTTTATGACTTTATGACTTCAAAAACAAATTTTAACAAAAATTAAGATAATTAAGTTTATTCTAAGTTAGATCTAATTTTTGTACTTTACTATAATATGATAAATATTAGCCTTCATGTAAGTAATTTGTAGGAAATACAAAAAACAAAAGCAAAATAAAACAACGGAAAATGAAGAGAAAAAGAAATATATATGTATACAATAACAAATATATGACTAAAGCAGTAAGAAATACATTTAAAAATTCGGATATAAGGGTAAGTTACAGAACTAAGAACAATATATTCCAATTAATCAATAAAAAAATCAAACACACAGAAGATAATGAATGGTCTGCGCGCATTTTTCGTTTAAGTGTACATAACTCATTATAAGATCGATATATTTAGGTATGTTATAAGGTTCATTCTTATAATAAAATGAAACTTCGGAATCTTTCCACTGGTATAAGTTAAGAGTTACCTATGTCATTTCACCGACTTTAAATGTGCTTAACATGCAACTGAAAAAAACCTTACATAAATCGACATATTCTGTCGCCCGCCACTCCAGCGGCACATTTTGAAATCGACATTTTCTGTCGATCTGCCACTCCTAGGGTTAAAACTAACCAACTTATATCGAATGAAACAATCGAATAATCAATATTTTCATTCGGTTGTTTGTGCTAACAGATACGGAAGTCTACCCAAGTTAAATCATTTGACTTAAGTCTCACCTAAGTTAGGTCTACTAACTAGTCTTACCTTTCAAAACTATAATCCATTTATAACAGACAACTAATTAACTTAAGTTAACTGAAATAAAATTTTAAAAGAAAATAACTTAACAATTAGGCCTATTTGTTAGCCTATATCAGTGTTCAAATCCCTAAGAACCATTTCTCATGTAACTTAAAATAGACCAAATTAATCACATGGGGCATTAAGATCTACGAGATAAAAAATAGTGTTAAATGCCTAGCTTAATATTGTCAAACAATACAGCTAACTACAAGAACACATTCAAAATGAAAACGCCAACTTCTTAGACTGAGATGTTTTTCTTCGCAGTTCATTATTAGCTAATCAAATGAATGTAAGCTCTGGCTAGTCATTAAGTGTTTATTTATTCCTAAAATTACTTTTATGGGCAAGTTACAAATACATCCTTACAGTTAAGCAGGGTCTTAAACAATCCAAATCAGTAAAAATGTATAAAGTAATTGATTGAACTTACATAGTCCGCTTCAATTAACTTTGCTGGGTCAACAGCCAAATGCAACAGTCCGGTCGTACAGCAAGAATTAAAGTAAAAATATGATTAACTATAATATGCAGATTTATTTTACTTTGTTGAATTCAAATATTGTAAATAAAACTCATAAACTTGGGCCTATCAGTCAACTTTTACGGTGAAAATCGTTCTTCTGTCATAAACAATCAACTGAACAACCAAAATACCGAACCGATAAAAGAAAATGGCGTCACTGTGGAGTGGAGTGGAGTGGACTGTGGGTGGAGTGGACTTCGGGCTTCGGGTGGGTTGGTGGGGGTAGCGGATTTTTATCCCCCTGGGCAAACTTGACGTCACAAACCAGGAGGTAAATTCCGGCCGCAAACTTTTGAGTTTCGCGACATCAAAATGATGTCGCGACATCAAAGATTTTTGATGGATTAAACGCGGAATTAAACATATATTTTCACGGTTGTGAATTTAATCAGAACACATCAAATTATAAAAACCTAGAGCGTATGGCCCGGATTTTTACCCCCGGAATTTTGCCCCCGGATTTTTACCCCCCGGAATTTTACCCCCCGGATTTTTACCCCCGGAATTTTACCCCCTGGTCAGAGAAATTAGTGATAATGACTAATTATCTTCATTCTGTTTTAATTTAATATTAAACATTTTATTATTAAGTAGCCTATCTTAATTTATTTGTAATATCAACTAATCGAACAGGTTTTTGATTTTAATTTTGAGATTCGAGTATCAGGATTCGATCTTTGAAGCCAACTGTTGATTAATATGAATTATAATTATAATTCTGATGTTTGTTTATACGTCATATTTATTTATTTATTTTATTTTATTTTATTTCCCAACGGCATAGCCACTTTACAATTATAAACAAACATCAGAATTATAATTGATTTTTTTTTACTTCAGTAACTTTTTTAACTTTTCAGTCTGTTGGGAAAATCACTATTGTCCAGCAAATTAACGGCTATATTGTTCGGGTGGGTTTCAAGTTTTTCTTGATAGTTCTTGCTGATTCTTGTTATTTCTTTCAATTACTGTAGGTATTCTGAAATCTTCATGGATTGTTCGATTCGAAACAAACCACGGGGCATCAACTATTCTTCGCAGTATCGCAGTGCCTTTGACTGAAATCTTTGAATAATTGCTAAGTTGGATTTACTTGCCATTCCCCAAAGCTGTATCCCGTACGTCCAAATAGGTTTGATCATAACTTTGTAAAGTGTGAGTTTATTAGTCAACGAAAGCGTTGATTTTTTGCCTAGAAGCCAGTTGAGTTTACGAACCTTCAAGTCCATTTGTTGTCTTTTACACCAAATATGTGTTTTCCAGGTTAATTTTTATACATGTGGAATCCTATAAATACTTAACGCTGTCCGCTTCTGTCAACGCTATGTTGTTCAAAGTAACTGGAGGGCAGTTTTCTTGTCTCAGCGTGAATGTATGTAAAGATTTTGTTTCATTAACTTTAGTTCTCCATTTTTTTAGCCACAGTTCAAAATCATTTAATGTAACTTGCAATTGAATTGAAGCATCTTGAGGATTTTCGTGATTGGAGAGAAATGCAGTATCATCCGCAAACGTAGCAACCGTACTATTTTGGCCCACGGGGATGTCGGAGGTATATAGTAAATATAAAACAGGTCCAAGAACACTGCCTTGGAGTGCTCCAGAATGAATAGGCTTCAAGTCGGTTAAAATTTCTTGAAATTTAATCTGGAAGAATCGTTAATTTAAGTAAGATTTTAACAAACTGTAAAAAGAATGGGGGAGCAATGATTTAAGTTTATACAGAAGTCCAGTATGCCACAATTTATCAAATGCCTGTTGTACATCCAGAAATGCAGCGGAACAGTACTTTTTTGTTTCAAATGAATTTTTAATGATGTCTACTATAGTCTGTGGGTTTGTTCAACTGTAGAGTGTCCTTTCCGAAAGCCAAACTGATGCTCAGGAATCAAATTTAAGTCTTCTATAATTGGGTTCAATCTTCTTTAGGATTAGTTTTTCAAATAATTTGGATACAAATAATTTGGATAATTGATTCGAAGATTTCTTTAACGATTTATTATACAACCGTGGTGAAACAATGTTTTTCGTTTGTATTGTAACAATAACAACATATGCCTTATTGTTTCTTTAAGAAGATAGTTCACCCAATTATTATTTAAATGCGCTACTCCAGTTTATTTAACCAACAGTTGGCCCCAAATGCAAATCCCGAACATCAAAATTAAACAGGGAATTCTGTTTACTTAGTTGAGATTACAAAATAAATAAATAAAGATACGCTACTAAATAATGAAATGTTTACAATTAATTAAAAACAAAAATAAGAAAATCAATCATTCAATTTCTAGAATCGGCCAGGTGGTAAAATTCCGGGGGGTAAAAATCCGGGGCAAATATCCGGGGGTAAAATTCCAGGGGGTAAAAATCCGGAGGTAAAATTCAGGGGGTAAAAATCCAGCCCGTACATCTTCAGTAGTCTTAACGCTAGTTATATGGACAGGGGGTAAAATTCCGGTTTTTATCGCTATCTAATTAACCGCGCTCTGGCTATTTTCATTAAACTTCCAAATCCACGGGGGTAAAATTCCGGCCGCGAACAAACTTTTGGCCACTCAGGTTACTACGTCATAGTGACGTCAGCTTTGCCCAGGGGGTAAAATTCCGGCGACCCGGGTGGAGTAGTAGAGAGAGAAAGATAAGGGTAATGAGCAATTTAGTTTGGAATCGCGGTAGATAACAAATTACGGTAGATATTATTGATATTATACAGTACTAGCTGGCCCGACAGACGTCTTCCTGTCCTAATGTGGTTTTATGTCAAATGCTCGTCCATTTTCAAGATTTTTGAGCTCTTTCGCATGGCTTAATCATAATCATGTCCTGGTCGAAGTTAGTTGGCTACGCTCACTCACCTTTAGGTTGGACGGTTGGAGCTCGTTCGCTGCGCTCACTTGCCTTCAGGTTAGCTCGTTCGCTACGCTAACTCGCCTCCAGGTTGTTGTTTAAATTTCATTTTTAGAATTATTAACATTTTCTAATACAATGTAAGAAGTGTCTACTACCATTTACATATTTAATCTTTGGTTTTTAATAACTTTTTCCCGCAACCTGTAGAGAAAACTTGTTCTTGTTCTTGTCAGCTCTGTTTCTGGCTGCACTTTACTTAAGGTCCTACACTCATTCAAATGAAAATATCGATCAATATATCGATTGTTTCATTCGATATATCGTTTGGTAGTTAGGTTAACCTAACCTAACTAACTAAACGATATATCGAACGAACTGATCAAATAATCGATATTTTCATTCGAATGAGTGTAGGACCTAAAGTTTTTTAATTTAGTTAGTGCAGTCTGCAGTCCTACTTCCACCTCTGCCAACGACAACCACTTCAAATTTTTTATCTAGGTTATGTTAAGCGTTAAGGTTATTTTTGGATAATAATAACTTCTTACTTATTTTATTGAGTCGTTGGTTAGGTTGAGAGTTTGATCATTGTTTGATACTTTGGAACTTTGGTTTAGCTTTTAGCTTGGTTGAAGTGAAGACCGTCACCGTCACTTTAGCACTTTACTAATCACTATGGTTATTGTTTAGCTACCGCTTTGTCGTTGCCATTAAAATTAGGTTGAAATTGTTGATTAAGCATAACATTTATTTAATTTCATCGAAGAAACTGAGATGTCATTGGTATTCCTTCTCAAGAGTAAAACACTTCTACCCAGTGAGTAGCCTAGGCTATTTTGGAATTTCTATTGCTCTTAGGTGTCTCTGATGTTAACTTGGTCTAAGTTAAATTAAGAAACTTAGCCAAACCCAAGTAGGCCTAGGCCTAAGTTAAGTGCATGATTTAAGTTATGCTAGAACTACCGGTACTATTAAGTTTTAAAGTACAATAGATATAGGCCTAGACCAGCGAGCACATAATAATAATAATAATAGAGAGGACACGGCGTTTAACCAAATGCACTGAAAGTGTGGCCAAATCCGCCATCTTGGTCCGTCATACAGCCTGAATCCAAGACCCGCGAGCTCAGTTCGCATTAAAAACCCCGCAACAAATACACGATCATAAACAACATTAATAGTTGACAAAAAATTCTGAAATTTTGCACACTTGTAGATATGATACTGAGAAAAACGATGGTGTTAATATAAAATTATTAGTTATGATAGTAATTGAGTTATAAATATGTTTAATACTTATGTAGTTTAATTTTTCAAATTCAGACATGAAAAAGTTGTATTGCGAGGAAATTTTTTATTTTTTGGTCAGAGAAATTTCGTCAGCGGGAAAGTTGTGGATAAATAACCAAATTTAACTATACGATTCACCAAAATTTTTTATCATGTTCGGTTTTCTAAAAAATCAGGTACAAAAGGGATCCATTGCCGCTGCTCCGCGCCACGCCGCTGCACCGCCGGCCGTCTTCTATACATTTAGCGTGCAGTGTTTTAATAATTTATACTGTTGTACTGTAATATTGTATATATTAATGACATTTTCAAATACCTATATTGTCTATGTAAAATTTTCAACCGTTTAGCACAACTTTTTAAGGACTAATTAGCTTTCAATATCATCCAAGATAAACTAAAGATAATTCTGTAAGTTAAATTAAACTTCCCAAATATATTTGTAAAATTACACTCAATTTATTGCCCCAGAAAAATTACAGTTTTATTGAGATGTTGCCTGATTTTATTTTTGTGAAGACTTTCGTTACTTATTTTACAGTAGTAGCAAACTCTAACATTGGAATATTTTTGAGCAATAATTTTAATTAGGTACGAAACAAAAATGATTTTTGTCCATATTGTTTCATATCCTGAGAAATGTGTAATATTTGGAAACAAATTTACACCTACACATTGTCCAAGTACTTTGTTCGTTAAGTCCTCAATTACATTGTTTTCCTTTACACTAATATCGTTAACTTTATATCTACACTATTCTCATCAAGCATAGCAGACGACTAGCGCGCTGCACACGCCGGGACTACTGTTGGGGAAATAAATATGTGCACTCGAGTTTGAGCCTAAATATCTCTTGAGATGAACTATCAGATTTTGTTGAGACAAAAATTAAATATAATCTGGTTTAAATACATTTTACGTGGTAAAAATTAAAAAAATTCCGTTTACTAGAAAAATTTATATAGTTGAAAGATCCTAAAAAGTACCGATTTTTAAGAAACTCTGCACTAACACTGAAGTTTAAAATTTAATTGTAAACAAACTACTCAGCCAATATTTGTGAAATTGTTATGGCTTATTGGTAGGTTTATTGTTAACAGTTCCATGCATTTTAAAATTTTTACTCACAATAGTCTTTATGGTGATGTTTATTTTTAAAACGTATGCTAACATCGTTAATAAGACGCTAAAAATGTCGTTCAAAATGCCATCGTGTTTGTCGTGACACAAGAAATAAAATAACACTAATATGACAGATTTATAATGTGAACAAAGATGTTTTTTAAACAGATATATATTTGTAAACAAAAATTTCTCCCGCGATAAAAAAAATCGATTTACTACGGTAAAAACAATCGATTTACTTTAAGACATTTCCAACAATATACTAATACGACAATGTACTTCCAGAAAAACCTAAGTAATTTTTATACAAAAGTATTTTTACATTTAAACAAAGCCTATGTAAACAACACTGACTCGAAGCATAGCAGACGACCAGCGCGTTGCTGACGCCGGGACTAGGCTAGCGCCGCCATCTTTGTCCGTTTCGTCGGCTAGTCAGACTGCCACGCTCCTCCGCTCCGAGTAGCGCTTCTATTTTGTTATGTGTTCGCTGGCCTAGACTCAATGTCTAGTTCTAACATTAAATTACAAACGCTAGTTTCACACTGTACGGTTTTCGCCGTATGGTAAAAGAAATATTGGTAATCTATTTAGTAGTGCTAAGAAAAGCATGAGAGCTTTCACACTCCACGGGTACAGCCATGTTAAAAAAGCAGTCCACTGCCATCGAACCGTAAACTGCAGTTGTTGCCCTGTGGCTGTGCATCGTTGATGCATGTAGTTAAGCTTTCTCACTGCATGGTTTTCTGTCTAACGGGAGCCTATTCAGTGCACATAGATCAGCTGTTGCACAGTTAATTGTTTACAATCGGGCTTGTCAATTGGACACTGGTTAGGCTATGTTTATTTTGGCAATTTAAACACATTTATCTCAGTTTACGGTCAGAAACCGTGTAATAGGAGAGAAATGTAGGCACGTCAAAATAGTATTGGTTTATTAACCAGACAGCGAAAATTGTGTTATTATGAAAGGAAAGTAAGTTAAGTCTGGTTTATCAACTGAAGAAGTGTAAAGCCCCATGACGTGAGGCAGGGCGATTCCACGGATGGATTTGAGCAAGGGCTTGTATCAGTAGCCTACGCGTCCTGAGTCCATGGTCCGTGTAGCGGTCCGAGGCTGGTTTGTTTGAGTCCGGCTCATTCCCGCCCGAAGTAAGTAAACTTATGAAACATCAAAGGACTGTGGCTCGTATTCGGTGCAGAGGGGGGTCGAGGTGCTCTCTGCACTGTTCCCAGCCCATCGGCGGATCTTGAAATGTATGATGCAACACGCGTTGTGGGAACAGTAGGTCCGGTCCGCAAATGTTCGCATATTCACTGATCCGATCACTGATCAAGGACATCCATGGTATGGCCCTACCGCGCGTCGTGGGAACGAGGCTTTAAAGCCAACATTTGTAATGGTGAGCAAAAAACGTTGGCGTTGCGTTGCTGAGAAACAATGCTAACTAGCATCTCTATGACTGTTGGACTAATTACATGTAATTCTTATTTTTAGGTAGCCTATGTCAGGGTGGTAGGTCGGTCTTATGCAAATTCAGGGATGTATTAAATGGTTTTAAGTTAGGTTTGATAATAAAAGTTACATTTTATGTTGCCATTGAACCAAGTTTTTAGTTTTTAAACATTGCAAATAACTTAAAAAAAATTTTATTGAAATTGGATTATAATTGAGGAAGAAAAGTGTAGTACCTGACTAAAAACCACTTGACTTTCGGAAAACGACAAAAGTACCCCCTGTCACGGGTAGTAGTAGGACCCTTGGGCATGCTAAAGTAAGAGTGTATAAAAGTCGCTGTATAGCTTAAAATAATTTTTTCTTCCATAATATTTGGTATGTACATGTTCAGGAAAGTGTATTCTACAAAACTAAATAATAAAAAATGTTTACATAAATTTAATATTTGACGGCGTACCCTCTGCGTCTTGATTAGTAGTAGGACCTTGGACATGCTAAATTAGGCTGCAATAGTTTATAAAAGTAGCTGAAAATTTTAAAAATAATTTTTTTCTTCCTTAATTTTTATTATCTACGTGTTCAGAAAAGTCTGTTTTACAAAACTAAATAATAAAAAAAAATTTAAAAAAATTTATATTTGAGTACCGGTACTGTGTTACCTTAACTATGTTTTTTTTAATAAAAAATTGGCAACAGCTGGTCCATACAGATGGGATGTCTACTTCAGTACCCAATAGTCAATGGTAATATTTTATAAAATTTGCCCCTTACACACCAGTGTAATTGGTGTTTCTCAAGCAAATAACTAGCAATAGGTTTTACACATCATTAGAGTGGAATAGCTAAGGACTACCTCTTAGGGTATATAGCATTCCACATTGACAGTTTCACAACTGCCTGGCAAAACAATGGAATAAATCATCTAGAAATATTCAGGTCAAGCTTCTTTAATAGGATTACGCTACAAATTTTCAACTTTAATGTCACCTACAGTTTTAATCGCTTTTCTGCCTCCATGCCAGAATTATGTTACACCCAAATTTCCACTAACAACTACATGATTTTAAATATGTTTCTAGTTGGTCAGTTATTCATTTACCATTTTTGACACACAAAAGATTAATGAGTACTTTTTTACCAAACGATTCTTATCCTCAAAATTTACTCCAGGTTGGCGGATGTGAATCAAGAAAGCAATGGACAGTTCACAAGACCAGCCATTGTACTCCAGCTTTGCTGACGTGATTGGCATCGTATTTAATAATTGGACGGCCATCAAGTTGGCTGTGGAGCACGGAATGGGCGGCCCCCCTGCTGTAACTCAGCACAAATTGACGGGCATAATTGATTCAGTTGCACAGACGATCACTTCTAACAATGTAGACTGGTATGATGTCTCTGACCTCTTGGCAGATGCGATGGATACAGAATTTTCCACAATTTTAGAAGACGACTCCAACGATGAAGTAGCCAATCATTTGTGCCAACTTTACCAGATGTATCAGACTGGAGATCATCCGAGTCTTCAGGCGGCATTGTCCTCGCTGCCGTGCAGAACACCAATTAACACAGTTCTCCTCAACTCGGTTACCCACTCGGTGCCAATGGAGTCATCATCATCATCGGATGAAGAAGCACCAGCTGAAGATGATGGTTGGACGGTTGTCAAGAGAAAATAATAATTAAACTTTTCTACAAATTGTTTATAATGGCTACCAGAAGACAAGTGAACTGCTCTCAACTTTGTATCGAAGGTCAAGGTAAAATGATTTGTTTCAGTAAGTGAATTGTTTTGTTCTTAACACTATGAACAGCTGTACAGATTTTTTCATGTTTTTGAAACAGTTTTATTACTTATTAGAATAAATAAGTTTTAAAATCAAGTGTATGGTATGTTTTTAAATATTTAATAATGAATATAATAAAACATTGTAATATTTGAGTGTTTTTCTTGATAAAAAAACCTTTTATTTTAAGACTATTAAAATTATTGGAAGGTTCATCATTAAAAGACTAATCTGGAATCAACTTTGTCAGGGATGTTGACTGTGTTTGAATTGAGAAGTTTCAATTGTGCAAATTATCTAAATATTATAGGCTACTTCCAACTAATTTCTTTATCAATAATCACATCATGAAGTGTAGTAAAAGTTGGCCTATCAAACCTGAATTCCCTTTGAATAACTTGAAAGCAAAATAATGATTTTGACATGATGACGAATTGGTATTTTAAAGTAATAATATCCTCAAATTAATTTTAAGCCACAGAATGTCATGTGTTTTAAAATAGTTAGTACAATTTTAACTAGGTCAAAAAAAAAATTGATATAATACAAAAGACCACTGTAATAGACGGATCAGTCTGACTCAGAAACACTCTGTAAAAAATCTAAGAATTGTAAGATTACAACAAATTCAAAAAATCCAAATCTTTTTAGGTGAGTTTTTTTACCAACAACCAGGAAATTAGTGTAAATAGTGTTATTGGCTTTGAGGGGCTTAAAAAAATGTTTTTATTCTCCAGGCCGCCAGTTGAAATCAGAGGAACCTAATGACCTTCATTTTAGGGTTCAAAAATGTACCCAGCTACTGAGTATTACATTAATGACCTAACTGAAGACTATGAGTCAGTAACAAAGGAACATGAGTCATTACAATCGTTATACTCCTACCTTGGATTCATATCCTTAACTAGCATATAGCAGGTGGTGGGTTGACAAATCACCTTTCTTGCTCCAAATAAGATCTTAGGCTTTAAATGTATGAAAGATATTCACTTAGTACTTTGTACGAGAGTTTCCTGTTAATTGAGCTCTCTTGAAAAGCTCCCGTTGTGACAGAGCAAGCTAGATCAAATCTAACACTAGCTCTATGTTGTATACCATACTTCCTTCATAACAATTATAACTAGTCCCCACCACTATGCAGCAATCCGCTTCATGGTAGCCGTTGACAATGACAGGGAATATCAACGCTCTCGCCAAGTATGACTTGCGTTCTCTGATTAAATTTTGGTGATTCAATGTCAGTAACCCCCTAACCTGGACCCTATTGAAATCCGTTGCAGATGACATGTGTCGATGGAGAAAAGTGTTTTTTATGTATAAAATAATATGCATAAGTAGTGGAGGTCGTTAGGGGAAGGGCACATTTGCACAACGAGGCCGTCTGTTAGTTTCTAATAAGACAGTGAGAAAAACTAAGGAAATCTTCTTGCTTGTAGATTGGTGTGTCACTGTGAGAGATTGCTAAACTGAAAGGGGTGACTGTAAGACTTATCATAGACAATGGCAAAGTACGGTACTCCTAAACACTCCGATCCGCAAGCATGTTTCTTCAACTTTTGTGACTGTCTTTACAAAAAAATGATTGACATCTGCAGCTGGTCTCTTTGTGGAAATGTATGGCCTTCTATGAGCTCCCTAATTCACACATTTTTTACCTCTTTACTTGTTGGAACCTTAATTTACAAGCAGCCCTTGTATTAAGGTTATTTCACTATGTATAACAGAGCTACAACTACAACAACAAACAAGAAGTAAAAGTTAAACATATTCTTAAAACTTACTAAATTCTAATTTTTGGATTCTCAGCAGCGTTCTCTGTGCAAAGAAGCTCAACCCTGACCAGGTAAGGTCCAGGTCATAAAAGAATTGAATGACAGAAAACGGCACGAGAAAGTGACAAACAATGTGTCAAAAATAGTTGAGCAGTAGAGGCAGATTTAAGTGAGTAGTCTGATCGATTCAGGAGTCTCGCACTACAGCCTGACTAACTGCGTGCGTAAAAGCATTTAACCCCCCTTTTTCTACAAAAAATGTTTGATTTTTTTTAATCCCCCTTCTTTCTTAAAATTTAGTATTCAGTAAAATCTCCTCATTTTATTGTCAATGAGATACAATTTTAACCTGAAATTTAATGATATTCAAAACAGTTGGGAGGTGTCTAGAGATTTTATTAGATGCCTTTGAGGTACATCTCAAACCTCAAGGATATGCCGGGTGTTTCAAAAATCAGTTTACCGAGTAAGTGAATTTTTGTTTGAAGCAAATAATAAATAAATTTTATTAATATAAACATTTTATTTAAACTGAATTTACTTTACACATAGGTTGTAAACTTAAAATAATTGTTCAAAATGCTTTCCACCAACTTCAATGCATTTTTCACAGCGTTTTAGCGAATTTCCCATAAAGTGAATAAGCTATTACCGTAGTACTCATGATAATACCTGGACCCGGGACCGATTTACTTTTCCGTTTTGAGGTCCCCAGAGGCCAAAAACAACCTCCATTCAAGTTCATGTATATATATATGTGTGTGTGTGTGTGTGTGTGTCCGTTAGCGTGATAACTCGAGCAAAAATTCTACGATTTTGATCAAATTTGGCAGAAACCTAAGTTTATTCAAACGAGTTTGCGAACCAGCATGATCGGACTATGGGAACGGGGTTTTATGGGGGTAAAAATTGTATTTTCCCCATTTTTAGAACATTAAAAGAAATAATTTTGTATATTGAAGCGTATATGCCTAACGGTTACGCAGATAATTTTAAAAACTTTAAACTTTAAATTCCCACGTTATTCTTATGGAGAATAACATGCGATTATCATGAATTACAACCTGTGTGTAGTGTAAATTCAGTTTCAATAAAATTATAATGTAGCCTAAATCAAATTAATTTTTTAATTGCTTCAAACAAATACACTTAATCGGTAAACTGATTTTTGAAACACCCCGTACTTGTATCCTGTATACAATATACAGTAATAATATTACTGCATATTGTATGAGATAATTACTGTTCACTTCATGTGTACAAAGTAAATAATTGGATACATTTACAGTAGTTGGCCGGAAAGTTTATAAATATTAATTTGTATTGTTGACGACAAATCCTTCTTGCCAATGTTTAAGGCATCTATTGTCTTTGACTGTACATTTCCTTATGTTCTTTCCCAGTTCCTTCAATGTTCTATGCCCATCCACTGGCGCTCCGTGCTGTGCTGTAAGCAATGCCACAAGTCGGCTCTGGACCCATGAGAGGGCTTTCAGCTCCTTTGTTTGCCCACTTGTCAGCTCCCTCATTGCCAGCAATACCTTTGTGCCCTGGAACCCAACTAAGGATGATCCTGTTGTTCTTTCCCAGAGCTTTCATGGCTTGATGACGGTCCCATACAGCCTTGTAGGTAAAGTCAAAACTGTCAAGTGCCATTAGTGCTGCTTTGCTGTCTGAGTTCATGTATACAGTGTGGCCTATAAGACCGCGCTTCAAACACACTCTCGCACACTCAGACAGGACAACAACTTCTGCCTGGAATACAGTGGCCATTTTTCCCAGGCTTACGCAGAACTGCGCCTTGGGTCTGACTCCATATATTTCAGCCCTGTGCCCGTTGGCTTTTTCGAGCCATCCGTATACCAAGTGATCCCCCTTTTCATGTATTCAGGTTCACCCTTGTCCCAGGCATCCCTGTCAACAATGTTGACATTGTGTGGTTTTTCTAGATCTGTGATCTTCACCATCCTGTCTGGTAGCATTTCCAAGGTGTTCATCTGCACCTTGTCTACAACTCTTGTGTGCTCACTGGAGGCATTATACTTCCAGTTGCCACTGCAAGCCATTCTGTAGGCGACTAGTAGCCATTCTGGTATCCTTGCCTCTCCTTTCACAATGATGTGGAGAGGTGGCAGGTTTAGCACTACTTCCAGGGCTGCAGTTGGAGTGCCTGTCATGGCTCCTGTGATGCTAAGGCATGTCACTCACTGGATCTTTTGTAGTCTTTTAACAGCGGTAGTTTGCATTACCTTGGTCCACAAGACCACTGAGCCATACACCATCATTGGTCTTGCAACCCTAGTGTATAGCCAGTTAGTCATTTGTGGGCTTAGACCCCAGGTCTTCCCAACAGCCCGTCTCATCATCATAAGTGTGGTCTGAGAGCGTTGTGTTATATGTGCCAAATAGCTGTTCCAGGTGAGCTTGTCGTCCAGCCTTAATCCTAGGTATTTGAACTCCCTCTTAACCTGGATCTGATTACCGAAGGGGTCTGACTTAGGGGAGGTACAAATGAGGCATTTAGTTCAAAATTCCTCCGTGAACAGCGCTGTAGTAGAGAGTACTTTGGCAATGAAGGTTTACTAATCGCAAAAATAGTTCTGTTCATAAAATAAAATTATAAATGCCAAAAATTCAATTTTATTGATCCTTAATTACAAAATTAAACTATCATAACCTAACCGAACTAACCAAACTTGCTGATAAAGAAATAATATAACAAAAGTTTATAGTAATCGGAAAAATAATTCTGTTTATAAAATAAAACTAAAAATTGCTCAATTAAAATTTTATAATGACTTAATAAAAAAATTAAACTGTAATAACCAAACCAAACCAACCAAACTTGCTGAAAATAAAAAATCTTGGACAAAAAGTTAATGCCACCGGCGGGATTCGAACCCGGGATCTGCAGTATATCAGCCCGGCACGCTAACCATTAAACCACCGAAGCCGATGGCTATCGACCGTTTTGTTACGGCAATGGCGTTCCCTCAGGTTATAAGAAGCCCTCAGCTGTCATCGTAGCCTCTTCTATACCTCCCCTGAGTAAATACCTTACCGAAGAGAGTTGGTACTCTAGCAATATCAACATTTATCTTCCTTGTAAATGGTATCATTACAGTCTTCATTGGATTGACCCTCAGACCTTCCTGGTTACACCACCTCTCCACTATGGACAATGCCCTCTGCATGAGTTTCAGGCAAGTGTTCATAAATTTTCCTCTTATTAGTACAACAATATCGTCAGCATATCCTTGAGCGTACATGCCCTGTGCATTGAGCTCGGACAGGAGATTGTCGACCACCAGGTTCCACAGATGTTGTGACAAGACGCCACCCTGTGGACACCCTCTTTGGGCCTTGACCTCTCTCACCGTCCC